CGGAGGGAATTGGAGGAGGAAGAGCAGAGAAGAGTGATTACGGGGAAGGGATGTGGTGACGGAGAAGAGTGATAACAGGAATTGGTAATTATAATATTATTTTATTTTATTTATTTTACTTTATTATGAAAATGAGTAAGAAATTGTAAAAGATTAAAATTTTATTTTATTTATTAATTTTTTTTAATTGCTACGTCACCCATTTCACGGTCTACTTTGAGAGTTGGCTGCCAAATCAGAAAAAGTTAACGAAATTGGTCGGAGAGTGACCAAATATGACATGTTTAATTAATTTTAATGACCACGAATGAAATTAAATATTTCTAGTGACCAACAAGAACATTTTTAGTAAACCCAGTCACCAATCTTGCAATTTACCTAAAACAAAAACAAATATTAATTCTGTTTGTGTCTATATTAGTTTTGTTTGAGACGATATTAGTTCTGTTTGTGTCGATATTAGTTTTGTTTGACTCGATATTAGTTCTGTTTGTGTCGATATTAGTTATGTTTGAGTCGATATTAGTTCTGTTTGTGTCGATATTAGTTCTGTTTTACATATCTTGATATTGGTTTTGTTCGAGCATGGTATCAGTTGTGACTTTCCTGGATAGTTGTTTTATAGGATCTGGGTATTTGTCTTTGCACGTGATTTATCAATGGAAAAGACTAAAATGAGCGGGAAGAGAGCGCCACCGACTTCACCCCCTTCACCACCACCACCACCGCGACAGCGATAGGAAGATGAGGAAGAAGAAGATACTAAATTCAAAGCAGAAGGAGCTGCATAAGAAGATGCTGAAGTCGGAGCAGAAGGAGTTGCACAAGGAGCAGCTCGAGGTCGGAAAAATCTTAGGTACAGATTTCAGACATTATATTATTTATTTTGCTTGGATTGTTTCTTTGATATATCTGGATATTGGTTTTGGCAAGCATGATATCAGTTGTGACTTGCCTGGATAGTTGTTTGATATATCTAGATATTTGTTTGACATGTCGGTATATTTGTTTGATTTATCTGGGTATTTGTTTGACATTTCTGGATATTTGTTTGATTTATCTGGATATTTGTTTGACATGTCTAGATATTTGTTTGATATATCTGTATATTTGTTTGTGCATGGATTTATCAATGGCAAGAAATAAAACGACCGCGAAGAGAGCGCGACGGAATCCACCGCCATTGCGAGAGGAGGATGAGGAAGAAGATGCTGAAGTTGCTGCACAAGGAGCTACACAAAGAAATAATATTCTAGGACAAGGCAAGCCGTGGTACAGATTTCGGTGCCATACCAAATCTCTGCTAGATGTTATTAATTACTGGAAGGAAGAGACAAAATACTATGAAGCATGCAATAAAGAGTTGGAGAAGGCTGGATTTGGAGGGTTATTGGAGCTTCGACTGGCAAATTTTCCTAAGAAGTTGTTCGATTCCTTGATGGCATAGTACGACTTGGTCACCAGTTCATTCATTTTCGGTGAAGGGGAGAACAAGAAGGTGCTTACAATCGAAGCTGAGGATGTTGCCCGTGTTTACGGCCTTCCTATTGGTGGAGCTGAGATTGATGTCGTTAGGTCTAACGACAAGATGCTTGATATGTTCATGGAGGAGCTCAACATCGAGTGTAATCAAAGTCGAAATGTCGAAGTCATGGATCTTAGAGAGGCAGCGTGTGGTGGTCCAGATGATGCACCGAGCAGGAGACTACCTGTTGCAGCCGCAGTGAAGTAGTTTTTGTTGCTGGCTATGGGTTCGATGATCGTCCCAAAGATGTCAGGACTTTGTGATCTCGATTATGCTGAGTAACTTGTTGGAAGGGTGGAAGACATTGCCACTTTTAATTGGAGTGGTTTTGTTGCCCGCAATCTGAAGTTTGAGTTGTCTCGTTCTAAGGAAAACAAAGCTGAAGCTAGGGCTAATGGTAGACAGCAATGGTCTTTAGGAGATATCCACTTCTTAATGGTGACTTCTCCTTTAACATTGTTGATATTGTTTATTTGATGTGCTTAGGATATTAGTTCTTTTTATTTCTGATATCTGTTTTCTATGCCTTTGATATTAGTATCGCTGCTTAGGATATTAGTTCTTTTCATTCGTGATATCTGTTTTGTGTGCTTGTGATATTAATAACCATGCGTAGGATATTAGCTCTTTTCATTAGTGATATCTGTTTTGTGTGCTTGTGATATTAATAACCGTGCATGGGATAGTAGTTCTTTTCATTTCTAATATTTGTTTTGAACTTATTTTGTAGATCCATTTGCTGGACTTCATTTATATGAGAGGGTTTGCCACAAAACCCATCCCTACCTGCAGCTATTGGTTCGACCCTAGGGTGGACAATGTGTGCTTGAATATCCCCAAGGAAGCTGACAAATATCTTCTTGGTCCGATGTTGTTGTCAAGAGAAGAAGTCAAATCCCGCTTCCGTCCAGAACGTGCTAGGAGGGATTGGGAATCAGGATCAAGCCGTTCAGCTTCTACTACTGAATGATGGAAGGATGTTGACTTGGAAACCCTTGATGATGATGAGGTATGTGTATATTCTCTATGCAACTCAAAATCGTGGGTTAGTGGCCATGGGTGTATGTAGTGAACTATTTTTTTTTCAATATTGTGTAGCTTAAGGCATTGCAGTCCATGACTAAAAAAATGATGGATGTATGGGAGTCAAGGCGGGATAGTGTTTGGAGAGTTGTCATTTTGCGCCATCAAGGAAACAAATGATCTTGGCAATTTTTTTCTCTTTAATTGGATGCAATGTTCTTGTTGGGATTTTATCTTTGCCATTTTGGAATGGCTTGAACATTCAGATTTCTGTTTATTGTTGGGATTTTATCTTTGCCATGTTGGAATGGCTTGAACATTCAGATTTCTATTTATTGTTGGGATTTTATCTTTGCCATGTTGGAATGGCTTGAACAAATTTTTGTTCCTGGATATTATTTCTTTTCATGATTGCATTGAACAGGTGCTGTATGTTTGAATATCACTCTGTGTTGTCTGGACAATTGATGCAAATTATGTTTGGATATTGTTCTGTGCGGTCTGGATAACAACTCCTTCATGATTGGATATTACTCTGTGATGTCTGGATATTACTCTGGTAGTTTGGATAATAATTTAATGTGCTTGTACGTGTTTTTTCAGCGACCAAAACAAAGAAGGAAAAGGGGCAGAGTGGCGAAATCTTCTTCGACTTTGGTATATGTGACCAAAGCGAGGATAAAAAAGGAGGGAGACGTGAAAGGCAAGAACATGTGCAGCCGCTTGTACTCTCGGAGAATACGTGAGAAGACAGTGTTGTCTGTTGTCGAGCCTGAGGTCGGGATGCCTGTTGTTAAGTCCACTATTGAGATGGAGGTGGAGTCAAAGTCAGTTGTCGCTACTGAGCTGGTTCGGGAGCCAAAGTCAGTTGTCGAGCCTGAGGTGGAGGTCCCTGTTGTTAAGTCGGGGGAGCCAGGCGTGCAGTCGACTATTGATCCACATAAGGAGATGGGGGAGCCAATCGAGCAGAGTATCGGGACATCTCCGACTACGGTAATATTTCTCTTACCAATTAGCCTCTAGTATGGGTTTTTTGGATATTTGTTTCTTTATGAGTAGATACTGGCCATGTTTTGCAGATACCAGTCGAGTCAACTGTTGCTGCCCAGGAGAGTATCACAACATCTCCGACTGAGGTTCTAACTCAAGGATTAGCAGGACCATCAGAGGAGGAGCTTATAGCAGCAGCATGTGAGATGATGGAGGATAGAGACCCGGATACGACATTCGCTAATGTGATGCAGATTGGTTTCGAAGCCACTGCTGCCGCTGAAGAGAGTATCAAGACATCTCCGACTATGGTAATATTTCTCTTAGCAGTAGCCTCTAGTCTGAGATTTCTGGATATTTGTTTCTTTTTGTATGGATATTAGCCTGGGATGCCACGATATTTGTTTCGTATTAAGTGGATATTATCCTGGGCTGCCAGGATATTGGTTTTGTATTGAGTGGATACTATCCTGGGCTTTCTGGATATTTGTTTCCTTTGTTATGGATACTAGCTTGGGCTTGCTGGATATTTGTTTCTTTATGAGTAGATACTGACCATATTTTCCAGACACATGTCGAGTCAAGTGCTACTGATCAGGAGGATAGCGACGATGATATTATCATCTCTGAGTGCATTAGGAGTGCGGAGGAGGCAGAGTATTTGTACTCTATCACACCGAAAGCCTGGAAGGCAACCCTAAAAACTCCAGAGTTTGATAGGTCAAAACACCACCCCTTCGGCAAATCAGTGTACGTTCTGCCAAAGACTATGTCGACGAAACTTGACGTTACAGCTCTGCAAATGGTTGAATTCATATTCAGTACTACTGCTCCAGCCGAGTAAGTTGATTGAGGAGTTATTTAATCACCAATTTCAATTTGTCCAACACACATTTCTAAACTGGTTTTCATTTGTGTTTTATAGTGAGAAATTTGTAGTGGATACTCCAACCGGTACCCTTACCCGTGAGCAGCTACATTCATTGAAGGGTAGAAGTTGGTTGCATACCCAAGTACTTGTACTATACGGGAAATTCCTAAATTACAAAGAAGTAGGCAAGGAGGTGGTGAAGAGAATTGTCTTCCCATGGAGTTATGTAGGTAAGTATTATCTTCACTGCTTAGATACTATTTATATTGAAAATGTCTAATTTGATATTGTTATCTATTCTAAATAGCAACATGTCGTCACTAATGCTTATTCAAACCAACCCATGGACAAGGCAAGACTAGCTGCATATATTGAAATGCACCAAGACAATCCAATGCTGAAAAGAGAAAACTTGGAAAGATGTGATTACGTAAGTGACTCTGGCAGTTTGGATTTTTTTTTAAAGTTTCCTTGATATTCGTTTGGGTTTATAGGATATTATTCTGGTTTCTTGAGATATTAATCTGGGTTATTAGGATATTAGTCAATGATAAACTCACAAACTGCTTTGTGTTTCATATATTTTTTCCAATGTATCGAAATGATCACTACCGGGTGTACGTGGCTGACATAAAGAATAGGAGGACTTTCGTACTTGACACCATAAAGTCCAATGCCCGAGTGGCTAAGGAGGATCACAGACCAGTTGGGAACATGATTTCTGGGTATGCGACGGCGTTCCTCAAAGAGCAGGGGGTCGATTGTGCATTGGATGAGTGGCCATTCAACATTGCCGACGTTCCTCAGCAAGAAGGAAACCATGATTGCGGTGTATTTGCATGCCTTTACATGGAGCTGTGGGCGGGTCACCTTCCGGTGGAATATAAAGCAAGTTGGCACAAGCAACCACATGTGTAGGAACAGCGAACACGGATTGCAGCCAACCTCATTTTATGGGACTATAACCGCCGCAACGGTGAAATAATTGAAGGTGCAATAGAATGGCATGCGCAGAAGGAGAAAGATAAAGGGAGAAGGAAGAGAATGTGATTTTAGATTTGTGTAGTGTGATATTAGTTTGTAAAACTTAACTTAGGCTTGGATAATATTTAGGGATGGATGCTATTTAAGGTTGGATAATATTTAGGGAGGTATGCTATTTAGGGTTGGATAATATTTAGGGAGGTATGATGTTTTGCAGCAGTATGGAGGATATTTGTCCAGATTTTGGATATAATTACCAACATAAGTTCTGATTGAAAAATATATTGTGACCTCCCAGGGTAAATATCTGTCTTTTTGTAGACTAATATCCTTAAAGAACAGACAAATATCCTTACAGCCTAGACAATGCCATGTTTATTTAAACAAACATCTGCAAAGTGATAGACAAATATCCGAAAGACAGACAGATATCCGAAAGACCCAGACTAATGTCCTTAAGGCCCAGACCGATACACTTCTTTTGTATACTAATATCCTTGGAGCCCAGACTTATACTAGATCTATATCTGTACATGTGAATAGTGAAAGAAGTAATCATTGATACTATTGTACTTGCTTCGAAAATACTGATATTCAGGATGCCCAGACTAATATATGTACATATTACAGTACATATCAAGTTTGCCCAGACAAGTATCATAAGCAAGTGGATTAATATCCATTGCACCACAAAAACGTATCCTGGAATCACATGTCAATATCATATCACAATAGACCACTATCGAACCACCCTACATTCTATTCATAACCATTGAGCAATATTACCATTCAAATCACTAAGATGGCAATCCGGTTGAGCATTGTTGTCCGGCGTGACCACTTCAAGGAATTTCATTCTCTTCCTATGGACACATTTCTTTCGACGGCGTTATTAGTGAATATACTTACTGTCCTCGCTAGTTATAGTCTTTGACAATGCCTTGTTTGCCTCATTGCACAGTTTCTTGAGTACTCCCATCCACTTGTTGTAGTCTTTCTCATCGGCCATTGACATATTCGTTGCTAGCTGATTCAACATTGCAGTGGTTTCCCGGTACCGCATTGCTATACCTTTTCCCGCATCATTCTCACTGGCAGCTGAAGGACCAACAAAACCATCGACATCAACAGCCTCTCTCTTTCTCGCCTCCAACGTCCATCGCTTGAGTATGTAATGATCTAGAATACTTCTCATACTTTCTTCCCCAAAATATCCAAGAAGCCGCATCACCTTAATCATGTGGCGGCATAACACTCCTAAAGTTTTGAACATTCTGCATTCGCATACCAAGGTCGTCGTAGAAATATCGACGAGAACGACACGCTCATCACTACGCTCACCATCCTCCATCATATATATGAGGTAGCCAATCATACCATCATCCCTAGTATCTGAGAGCTTCTCCATTATATAGGATTCAATAACCAAATACTACTTCTGTATCCGATCGAAAATGTTAGGAGTAAAGATCTTTGCCGCATGTTGGAGGATCGGGCTATTCTCCAACATTATATAAGGAACCGATTGTTTTGCATTGTAGTATGACTCTGTCTCCTTGAGTCTTTTGTCAGCCAACAAACTACAATTAGGAAGCAAGAGAAAAAAGACTACAATGCCCAGACTAATATCCTCACGGACCCGTACTAATACCCAGAAAAGATAAACAAATATTTCACCATAGCAGAGAAATATCCAAACTGACTATAAAAATATCCAACCCTAACAGACTAATATCATAGAAAGGAAAAGCCATATTGTGCGTGTGTACCTGCTAAAGTGAATGAAAAACAAGTCCAAATCATGCCTCGGCTTCAAGAAAAGTCGCACTTGTGCATTGCACGACTCGCTGGCTTGCGTAGTCAACATCTCGGCTGTGAATTGATCTCTCAACCATAAAGAACACCATCGATGAAGAAATTTCTTCAAACGTTCCAACCATTGATGGCCATCCGCAATGTCGCTATTTGGGAAACAATTAGAAACCATGGTGCTCCATGCCATGTCGAACTCTTCCTCACTGTCGATGTCGTAGAAATATGATGTTGGAACTTCTTCCAAAATTCCTTGTCCTTGCGAAGATGCTTCTTCGCATTCATGAGGATGTGCCAAGTACAGAGGACATGAAACACAGTAGGCCACTCATTTCTAAGGGCAGCTGCCATGGCTGCGTCCTGATCAGTAAATATAGTGATTGGGAGCTTCTTCTTCATGCATCGACTAAATTCAACAAACAACCATTCAAACGACGGAGTAGTCTCGTCATACATCAAACAAACACCAAACACACAAGTTTGACGGCGGTGATTGAAACCTACAAACATCCCTGCACAAGACAACTATTAATGACAATGCATAACCGAACAAGTGTAAAAAAAACTCAAACGAATTAGGTGAGGAATAGTAAACAACATATAATACCCGTACTAGTATAAAAACATACCCTGATTCCTCTCCTACTATTATTGGTTCATGGGTCTTCGGCCCATGGGCTCTCGGCGGGCAGCCTTAACTAAGGTTGCAAGCCCTATGTGTTAGGTCTTGATAGTGTGACAGTATATGCGAATCAATATCAGTAAAGCCCAGACTAATATCGTATGAAAGGTTACTAATACCCGTCGTGTTACAAACAAATATCATGGCATCACATGTCAATATTAGACCACCGAGGACCAATTCTATTCATAACCATTTATGTAATATAACTAAAAACATCCATGCGAAAGAACTCAAGGGAATTAGACGATTTACGTACCCAGTGGACGAAAATATTTATTGGTTCGGAAGGTGGTATCAAAGGAGACCGAATATCCAAAAAGTGCATAATCTTCACGCATCCTACTGTCCGCCCAAAATATATTAGCAACACTCTCATCGCAATCCACCTCTACAGCATAAAAGTAGTCAGGATGCTTGACTTTTTGGTCCTCAAAGTAGCCCAGCAAATAAGCTCTTCACCACGAGCCATTGTCCTTTTCCTTTTAGTGTTCAAGTGGTTCTTCTGATCAGATTTGGTAAATCTCAAATTTTGATATCCACCAGCATTATCAGCCAATAACTGATACGATGCACTAAGACTCATCCCGGCATCGCGATTAGCTTCGGCCATCTTTTTCTGAGCATCACTCATGCACTTGTTAGACTTGTGCAAGTGCATATGCTCGGTAGAGTGCAAACCAAGACTGTGGGCTTCTATGAATTCATACACCACAAATCCCTCCCTAGTAGCATCCCATCCAAAACGAACACGGGCGGGACATCCATCTCTAACTCGAGGCCTCTTTCTTTTGCAAACCATTCTCTCCTCAACCTTGTCTTCCGGCTGTATCTGATTATCCACATTGACTTTGCTTGTGGAAGTCCAGCCTTCCTTATTACAAAAGTAATAAAGGTATGCATAATTTTTCTCCACTACTCCTTTAGAATTCTTGATCTTTCTTATGTGTTCCCCATCTATTCGAACACCAAACCCTTTTTTGTGAGCGTAGCGCTTATAGAAATCAAAACACTCATCCTTAGTGCGATAAAAGATGTTCTTCCTCGCTTCCTCGTCTTCTAGATCCAATGTATTATGAGCTGCGAGTTAATGGTATGAGGCATGTTATTATCCATATTGACTCACTCCTACTGTCACTCCAGAAAATGGCCAAGTATAACCACTTCCTAGAGCGTAGTATAGCGGGTTTGGGTTTTAATGTCAACCCGGGTCCTAGATATGATGACTACTCGGTGAATTCTTATTATCTAGCGGTGAAACTTAAGTGCAGGTTCAAACAAGCAAAACAAGCAAAGCAATTAAACGGTTGTTTTCAAGTCGAGAGAGGTCACCCGGATATGGTTACCCTAGACTGCAGTTAAGCCGGATTGCAATTTACCAAGTTCAATTTCTATGATAGTTATACTGCGGAAGGTTCTTAAACAGTCTGAAGTCTCGACTAAAGGTCTCCAGACCCTCTCAATCTGAGTCTCCAGCGGGCGACTAACCTCCACCGGAGTAAACAGATTGAGGCCCTAACGTACAAAACCTCCACTACCGAAGTAAATTCGGTATAGAATAGTGAATTGGCTCCTCGACTAAAGTCGCCAATTCACTACCTTCAATTAAGGGTGCTCTATCAACCTAGGCAGATATACTCTTTCTAGGTTAAAGCAGAAACAACAGGAATTTGATCAGGATTCATGCCATACAATCATTCAAACCTCAATTGAATATAATCAAATCATAGAATCTGTACTTGGGTTCATACAATCAGACCTAACATACAAATCTAGGGTTCTCCATACTCAGATGAATGGGAGAACTACTCCATGGAGAAAGAAGCAAAAACAGATTCAGATGCGGAAACCATACTGTGAAGGATGGATTTCTGCTTCAGGTTGTCGATCGGCACTTCTCCAAGCTCAAGCCGGGCTCCAATGGTGATGAAGATTAAGCTAGGGCACTTGGGAACTATTGTTCGTCGCTTTCTCTCTCTAGGAATCGCTCTGTCTCTCTAAAACTCGGATCCCCTTCTCTTTTGGCTGAAATCTGCCTAAAAGGGCATCACTGGGCAAAACACGGTCGAGGGCACGGTCGTGCTTTGCTCTAGCCCGCCCGTGCACTTGCCTCGTGTTAAAAACACGGTCGTGCCTAATGTTTGACACGGCCGTGTTTTGGGTCTGCCCCGCACGTGTTTTGGACCAGTGTTGGACAGTCTTGGATCAAGTCTCGGTAGTAAAAACACGGTCCTGGAACACGACCGTGCTTTGATTTAGGTGTGCCCGTGCTTCTGAATGCCCTGAAACTCGTGCTTAGCCTTTGCTTCGACGTCTGAGACCTGAAATATAACAAAGTAGCACAACCCGGCGTAAAATAGGCCAAAAATACACGACTATGCCCCACAAACGGATAAGAACTAGGGGTGCAAACATGTGCAATTATATCGTTATCAAATTCCCCCACACTTAATCATTTGCTTGTCCCCAAGCAAACCAAGTCAGACACAAGGTAAGCTCAAAACGTTTCAATCAAGCAGGCTTTAAGGCATATCATATCGGCACAAATCACGTGGATCATACTGGCTTTCGACCATTGACACATGGGGAACTCCAACGACAACCTAGACAACCACTACAGATGACATTCGAATGCAGTAAAGTCGAGCAAAGGAAGAGTTCCCTTCTGTTCACCAACCAACATAGACTTGACTCAACCACTTATTCCAGACAGTCACTTCATGCACAAAGCTCAAGATATCAGAATTAAGACCGATCAATCTAGGTCCTCACCGGGATAAAGAGTATAGAGAACATGAGAAAATGAATCGCTCACTCTCGACCAGTGGGGTCAGGGCAATTTGATGCGAAAAATGCGCATGCTTATTCTCTCAATCCCTAACGTCTCTTCACCATGAATGCAGCCTCTAAATGCTAGAGTTCACATATGGGGTGTCACCACTAACTAATCCAGAGGTCTTAGACACAGGTTCAGATGACTGCTAGGATCTTGGACATGGGGAAAAGGCCTTTTAGGTGGTGGAAGTATTCAGAGCACAAGGTTTTCACAATTCCAAACCCAACACACTCACAGTCAATCAAACCACTCTTTCATTCTGCCATTCTGCATTACTCACTTTCTTTAAAGCACAAGAGCGAAGGAGGTCACAAAAAACGTAGTATTTCCAAGTAACACTGCTAAGAACCACTACTCAATGGGCGCTATTCAGATTTTGTGGTGGTGGCTCTCTTTTGCTTTCATTCACTTCTTTTTTTTTCTTTTTTCTTCATTTCTTGAGAGAACCACCACCTATGCACATTTTTGCAAACTCATGCCCTTTTCATTTTTTCTAGAACTACCTCCAACTCTCACATTATATTAAGCAGAATCAGCAGAGAACATGGAGAAACCACTCTGTGGAACCTTCTAAAAGATGCAAAGGGGGGTTTTCCATAAGACCGAAAGAAAGGATAACACACGGCTCAAAGGGCTGACTAGGGGGTGTGACACATCAGGGCAGTCAATTTGGTTGTGGGCTAATCCTACGCCTCCATCATCTTAGCTAATGACAACGTGAATGATGCACATCATGGAAGAGGGAACTATCGCACAAGAAAGAAACGAGCAGGCTCAAGTCTCACATGGCTACCTATATGCTCTATCTCTCATTCTGATTCCCTGAACTAGATGCATAAATGACTGTCAAAAGCAAGTGATCAATCCAAGTCACAGTTGGTAAGCAAACAGTTGAAAAACTGAACCCCTACACAGTTCTACTGCACATCTCAGTCATCATAATAAGCTGTCTTAGTCACACTCAAGTTGTCATGCATTAAGTCAAAAGCCATTCAATTCACCAATCACATCCACAGTGCCAATACGATCAAATAGCAAGCAAACAATAGTGCTTGGAGCCCTCAAATCTCGAGATTTGGACAGCGGACTAGGCTCCAAGCACACATATATACGTTCCAATTAATACAAACACCCCCCCCCCCCCACACACACACTTAAA